TTGCTCCACCCTCCCTGTTGTGGGGAGGGAAGGCCTGTCAGCTCTTCACCTAGGTCTCTGCCCTTTCCCAACCAGGGTTCTGTCTTGGATTCTCTGGCTTCAGAGAATGAATGACAGAGCATTTAGCAAAGAGCTTGTTAAAGATGTGGATTGGATGAAAGACAATAGTTAAAGCTCTGAGGCTACTGTTCCTTACACTCATTTAAAAAAAAAATCTAATTAACCTTAGTTTAGGAATTTTCTTAAGTAAAATTTGCTTTCAGACCCAGCTCAAGTAATGTATGGGTCTTGAGAAAATATGTTCGCACCTCAGCAGTTTTAAGGTATAATAAAAGTAGTTATTGGTGAAAAGGCCTTGGTAGACTGAGGCTCAGTTCTGAGAATTTAAATATAATACTTAATGACTTTTTTTTTTTTTTTTTTTTTTCAAAAATTCTTCAAAACTGGATTTGAGAATTGAGGATGTCTTGGTCAGCTTATTATTAACATTTTTTTTTTTTTTTTTGAAACAAGGTCTAGCTGTGCAATTCAGGCTGGCCTTGAACTTGCTTGCATAGCGCAGGCTGCCCCTGAACTCGTAGGCTCTCCTGCCTCAGCCTTCTGAGTGCTTGGATTATAGGCCTGTGTCACTATACCCAGCATAAATACTTGGTGATTATTGAATGTTTAAATAGATTCTCAGAGTGCAACGGGATATTAATTAATGCTTTGTGGCAATCAACACCCTACTGGACTTCTCCTCCGTTTTAGTCCTTTGACAGGGAAAGTGATGGATTCAAAGAGGCCACAGCCAGCACCTGCTGTTCTCTGGCTCAGCTTCTGGCAGGAAGAGGGAGGGGCAGAGAGGAGGCCTCTGGGCTGACTTCTGAGCATTAATTTCTTCCACTAGGAGATCACCTCTTTCACCTTCTGCCATCCATTCCGATTTTAGTATACGTGCTGCCGAAGGAAGCACACCTTCTGCCATCCAAATCTGGAATTTGATTGCATCATTGATTTGCAGCTCCTGTTGGACAGATTTTAAAATGGGCCTCAAGGAGAAAGGAGGCATATTTCATGTCTGGTTTTTGTCTGCAGGGAGAACTCACTGCATCCAAATTCATAAGTGTCACTTTCCTGCCCTGCAAGTTGAGTTGAGGGGCCTTTTGCACTTAGGAGACATTGGCTTGTTATTCTTTGCTCAGTATGTAGGCTGTAAACCTGCAAAATTTTAAAAACAAAATTGCACTCACCAGCAAGAAGAATGAAGAGACTGTAGTGCCATCTGCTGGCAACCTGGGAGAAGTGCATGCTGTTTGGGCTTGTCCAAACCTGAGAACGAAATTATTTAAAATGTGGTAACTTGAAAAAAAGAAAAGAAAAATATTGTAAGTCAAAACTTTAGAGAATATATTTTGTGATAACTATAGTAATGAGAACCTTTTCTCTGCAGTGTAAGCTTGGACATATTTTTATAGTTTTAAATATTGCCATTTGACAGAATAAAATAATGAGTTGAAAAAGCAGAATCGTTTGACTTTTTCAAGGATACAATTGAGATGATTTTATATGAATTTTATTCATGTTAAGGAGAATAGGGCACATATTGAAGACACAGCAGGCTGCAGCAGCTTGTCTGCCTGAAGTCCCGGCTGGCAGTTGGTAGCCAAGTGGCCGTGGGATCACGGACTGCACCCTTAACCTCTGGACACCAAAGTCTCCCATAAAATTGAGATTTACATGACAAGATTGAGAATTTTTCTTAGAACCTTGTTAGATTTATTCTTATAAACCAGCAAAGGATTAAAGGAAAACAGTACTTTGGTAGGCCACTTCCCCATGAAGATGTTTCTTTTAGAGAAAGTAAAAGTTTATACATAGTCATAATTACACAGTGAACTGGTTTCGTCCAGACAGAGGCTGTTCCTGTGTGTGGTGCTTAGGGATCTGCTCAGTACTCTGCGGCTAAGTGATCAGTTGCACTTACTGCTAAGAGGTGGCCAGTTGAAGTTAGGCAGATTGATGTGCATTACATGATTTTGAATTCAGAATGCAACCAAGCAAGATTGTTTTCGGTATCCAAACTTGGTTTCAACATTCTTTCTCTCCGAAGCATTTGCTGCCTCTCCCACTGAGCGTCTACTCTCTCCCACCCTGCCCGCCCTTTCCTCATGGCCCCAGGAGCGTCCTCGTCTCCTCTCCTTTTGTCTTCGTCCTTCTCCTCTGGCCTTCTCTCGCCTTTCTTCCAGTGAGGCACCCCCGCCGCATGTCTGCCCCTCCTTAGTCAGGGAATCCCTCTTTCTATACTCATCTGTGTACCTTGCTTATGATCGCATTCAGTGCTCCTTGGCTGAATAATGTAAAACATGAAATGGCCATGTCGTAAGGCCCTTCAGGTGGCTTTTTCATTTGGTGTGAGTAGGCAGGAGGTGAGTGGATCCTCGGAGCTACATGTGGACACAGCTGGACGAAGAGGGAGGGATGGCAAGGAATGTAGCGCTTCCTGAGGTAGGGTTTCTCTCTGTCTCTTAAAATTTGGCAGTGTGGCAGAAATGGGGAACAACGGGGCCTTAGATTTAGCCCTTGTCCTCAGCTGCTGGTCTTCTGTGCTCTGCTTTGCTCCCACCTTCTCAGGCCTAGAACTGTGACTCTTACAAGGTTTTCTGCTGGTCAGAAATACTTCTTCCCTCCCAGACTTGGAGGAGGATGATACCTGCAGAGTGCCCAGCCACCTGCCAACACCAGTGCAGCAGCTACTAGATGTGGCGGTGCATTACAGTTGGCTTTGCATGAAGAAGCACCTCTCCTTTCTCTTTGTCATTCTCATTGCTGAGGCCCTTCTAACTGTGAGGCAGATACCACCCCATTGCTAGGAGATTGTTTGTTCTGCTTCTCTTCCTCTGATTTTTCCCATGTGACTCAGTCTTGACCTCCCAACCTGTCTTTCCAATGCTGAGACACCAGGGATTGCTTGGTTCGACGCCTCTTCATCTTCCTTCTTGATGGCAAACTTACAGTGAAGATTCAAGTGTGCAAGCCCTTCAGGACCCAGCTTCTGTTCTGCAGGTTCTTTCTCTCTCCTTGTCCTTGGAGATGAGTCTCGGGATGTTGATCTTGCACTCTGGGCTTTGACAGACTCAGTGTGTGAAAGACTTAGTTGAAATTTCTGTTCTTCCATTTTTTTGTGACAACCAAAGTTAACTTCCTTTGCATTCTGTGCTTCTTGCTTAAGTTGGTCTTGGTCTAAGTGTTTTCTGGAGCGGTGTTTACTGGACTGGTTTTAGGTTGTATTCACTTTCTGTAGTGTTCAGGGTTACCCAGATCATCTGTGACAAGCTGGCACCCAGCGTGGAGGATAGGGTGCAGGGCCAAGTCTGGTGCCAGTCATGTGTTGATTAATGTGGACATATTTCTAGAAGTGCTGGCACATTTCTGGAAGCACTGCATTCCTTGCCATCCCTTCTGGCTCATCTTTGAACCTTGGAAGAGGTGGCAAGATGGATACTGTACCTGCCAGTTGGCCGCTACCAACTAGAGTGGCTACAAACTGTCCCACTTGCATCCCTTGCCCTCCTACCTCCCCATCACTATTTTTTTTTAATAACTGATCACTTGACTTTGGATCCAAGTGGCCTTTGTGGCCCTGAGTTTCTATTTTCATGATTACATGCTTTCTCTTTTCCAGTTACACAAAAGATTTTTAGTGGTGGAACTTCGTGTGTAGTTAGTAGTTTGTAGCAAGGGAAGGTATTTCAGTGATACTGATCATCTAGCGAGGTCTGTCCCCTTCACTTGATAGGGCTCTCGTTCAGGAGTAAGTCTTGAGTAAATGTTGACAAATGGTTCCTAAGTCCTATTTCTAGGAATCAGCAGACAGGTGGGAAAGGACGGTGGTAAAGATCCTATAAAAATGACCCTGGCGCCTCTTGGTAATATTGATGGTGGGTCAAGCTGGTTAGGAGGATTTTCGGTTCTCCCACGAAAGCAAGGCTCCCTGGTAATCAGATTTGTGTCTCTTTTCCAGGCCCTCTCTTCATAAATCAAACTCTGAAGACAGCTCTGTAGGTCAGTACCACTTTTCCTTGTTAACTATTTGTTTTCTTTTCATTCTTCATAGAAAGTATAAACATACAAAAGTATAGGAACTGCCAAGAATCCTTCTACCTGACATTAAAAGACCCTGTTAAGATGTTAATGCACAGCTTTCTCTTTTTTTCTCCATTGCGTGGGGGTTTTTAAAAAGACATAGATGGGATTATAGTCTATATGCTATTTCACAGTTTGAATCGTTGATAGTGTTATGAGCATTTCCCCACGATTAAATATTCTTTACAGTAAAAGATCTTAAAAAAATCATATTTGTCAAATAGGAAGTTTTGAGTGCATCTTAGATGTGCTGTAATTTAATTAACACTTTTTTTCTTTAGATCATTGCCATTGTTTTCCTCCTATCACAAGCAAATGACAAGGCTGTGTAAGTCCTTGAGTCTGTAACCCTGACTATCCTTCAGGTAGATCGTTCAGCGAAGAGTTTTTTGATCAAAGAGTATGGCTTTATATGTTTTATGTGTCTTTGATCGTAAAATCCACTTGCAATTCAGCAAGGGTCAGCGAGAAGGGAGGTCATAGCCACTAGTAGCTGAAGTCCTCAAACGAGGGCAGGTCATCTGGAATGCCATGCACTGTTATGTGCTGAGGAAGCATAGCTGTCATTTTCTCCATGTAACAACATGAATATGGGATGGGGAAAATAGTTTACAGTCAAGGAAGTACACATAGCTGTGAGCATAGGTGTATTGTGGCTATAGTGTGGCTCTTTCTTAAGTCTCCTGAGAGAGAGAGAATAATTCCTAGGGCCGAGGCTTTTCTCTTTGGTGCAGTTCTGGAAAAGTAATGTTTTGTGCCAGCTGTAGCGGCACCCATCAATAATCCGAGCTACTCAGGAGACTGAGGCAGAAAGATTGCAAGTTTGAGCCATCCTGAGCAACTTAGTAAGACCCTGTCAGGAAAGGAAGAAGGGAGGAAGGGAGGAATGAAAGGGAGAAGAGGGAGGAAAGGAAGGAGGGAGGGAAGGAAGGAAGGGGAAAAAAGAGGAAAGGAAGGAGCAAAGGAGAAAGAAAGAAGAAAAGAAAAAGAAAAAAGGCTCAGCGAGAGTGTGGCTCAGTGGTTGAGCACTGTCATAGCATGCCCAAGGCCTTGGGTTCAACCCCTAGTACCACACACAGAAGGAGGGAAAAGGGAGGGATGGAGGTAGAGAATGAATATTCCCAAGTTATTTGAGAAAAGGTCTGTTTTATGCCTTCCTGGCTTTCACGTTAGCCAAAGGGCAGCAGACACTGAGAGTTGCCTTCAAGACTTGAATACATATGCATCGCGGGCCAAGGCTCTGGTTTCATTCCCATGGTGCTAGCGGTTGTCAGGACCTAAATGAGGGCATCCTGTTTTGACAAATGACACCCTTGCTGGCCTGGGAGCCCCGCAGCAGTGTTCCCACATGTCTGCTCCCTGCACCGGCGCCCGGCACCACCAGTCTAGACAGCACACCACGGCTTTGCTGGCCCGGGTTGCTGTGGCCGTGGAGCCACCAGACACACCAAGCAGCCACCAGACCTCTGCTCCAGGTGTGCTTGTCCAGCACTAAGGCCATTAACACATTGCCACCTCTGCCTTTCGCTTCTTTGTTTTGTTAAACAACAAACCCATCCCCGTTCCTGTGATGTCCTTGGCCTTTCACTTGAGATTGTCGAAGTTAGAGAAAGGCTGAGTTGGGAAAGAACACAAGAGGACTGAAGTCTTCTGTCGCTGTGCCCTGTGGCCTGAATGCCGGAGGAGGACTCGTGGCCCTCCCGTGTCCTAGCTAGACAGGGAGGACCAACCCCGCCCTGCCCACCCTAGCGCTGAGTCGGCTCTGTTGCTCACAGCCCCACGGGACGTCCGCTGTGCTGCTCCTTCACAAAATCTGGAGCAACAGAAACAAGTCAAGGGGAGACAACAACAACAAGACAAAGTTAACTTCTTAGCGTTTTTTGCTTGTGGTGTAGTGGAAATAATTATGGCTGGGACCAAAGGGGGCAGAGTAGACCACAAAGCAAGGCAGAGTGAGGCGTACTAGTTAAACAAACATCAAAGAGAGTTCCAAAATGCATGCTTTCCCTGCCCTTTTGATGTTTCTTTATTCTCTTCTTAACCCTACTGTACAATTTCTTGCTCCTAGGAAATTTGCATTTCTTTTAAACAACTTTATAGGCATTTCCCAGTCTTTCACGAACTGAAAGAGAAAAACTTTTTTTGGGAAATCACAGTGTTCTTTGAAGCTCTGCAGTATAAGGAAAAGGCTACTTTTGTTATCAATGAATTTATTGCTTGTGGTTTTTCTTCCTCTTTTTGTTTTCTTTTTTCAGGAAAAGGAGATTGGAAGAAGAAAAATAAGTATTTCTGGCAGAACTTCCGAAAGAACCAAAAAGGAATAATGAGACAGACTTCAAAAGGTACTGTGCTGCAGCTAGTGGACAGTGGGCCCTTTTAGCTCTAAAATGTTATAAAGCCTTGCACTAATCCTGCTAGATGTCAGGAACTAGAGGAATGCACTGCACGAGCCTGGAATACAGTCAACTGTCTGACCTTTTTACTGCTACTTTAAGACTTCATCCGGGTCATTTCTGTGTAATTCAAAATGGAGTGGGAAGAGTTGTTGTTTTTTGTATTTAAGGCAGAGTCTACAGGGTCTCACTACACAGATCAGACTCATAGTGATTCTCCTATTTTCAGCCTCCCAAGTGCTGGGATTATGGGCGCGCACCTCCACGCCCAGTCTCAATCACCATCTCAGGATGCCTCCCCCCGGGGGTGGGGGTGGGGTGGGCGCGCAGCAGGGCACACTGGGGATTGAACCTCTGCCACTGCACTCTGCCTAAGCAGGCACTTTAGTCTGCTGAGCTATTGTACCAGCCCTCAGCAGTTAGCAGTGTTTTGTTTTCCTAGATCTGACATCATAGACCCAATCCACAGTGTTCTTTCTCATATCAGCCTTCTAAAGGGCTTTGCTTTAATCCTGGCCAAGTCTTACCCTCAGAGAGCCAAGGCCGTCTTAGCATTTGTTGGTTTTGGACCTTGCTGTCCACACTCCCAAGCAGGGCCTTCACACTCTGCTGTGTTTCTGACACTGTTCTGGGGCAGGGTCAGTTGTGGCTTGGTTACCCCTGGAGACTCGAACAATCTGACATCATGGGAATTTGCCCTGCTGTTTTGTGTGGGGAGGGCCCACCCTACACTGGGCTGTGTCCTTTGTTGTTGTTTAGATAGTAAGTAAATATGTCATCCCTTTGAGGCTAGTTATGTAATTTATGTTTCGCCAGTATTCACAGAGGAAACCAGAGCAAACCCACTTCCAGATTCCAGTCTGGCTGAGGGAGGTTATCAGTAGATGGAACCTTTTCATTGCTTGCCCCAGATGCTCTTTGTTTCCCTTCACAAAATCATGTGTGTGGCTGCTGTGCTATGCGGCCAGCACACAGAGGAGTGGCTGTGGACCTCAGATGGCCCTGTGGGTGCCTGGCTTCCTGGGCAACACTCGAGCGTTTTCCAAACTGTCTAACCGTAAAGGAGTTATTCTTAAACAAGCCCAGCTCTTCCCTTGGGTACACACCCAGGGTCATTGGTGATTTAAAATAAACCTTGTATTCTAAAAGTCTTGTTTAGAAAGCAAGCTCTGGAGAAAAGAGAGTAGAGACATGGGAAGACAGCAAAGAAGGAGGAAGCCAGGTTCACCAGCTCAGTGGGTTAGTTAAAGAACAAGCCAGGGCTGGGGGGAAAGCTTGGCGTTCTAAGCGCCTGCCTGGTAAGCGCAAGGCCTGGAGCTTGATCCCTTGTACCACATGCCATGCTGGGCAGGCTAAGACAGGAGGATCACTAAGAGTCTGAACTGCATAGTGAGACCCTGAATTGAATCAGTGAGTGAGTGAGTGAGTGAATGAATGAATGAATGAATGAATGAATGAGTAGAACAAGCCAGCACGGCATCACTGTGTTCGCCATCAGAGGCAACGGGGGCAGCCCTCCCGGGCCCACACTGCCCTTTGTCCTGTGCAAGTGCTGAAAGCCGGAAGGCACAGAACGGGCATTTCTGGTGTGCGTGAACCAAGATGGACATGAGATGGGAAAATAAATTGCGAAGTTGGTCCAGTCTGTGGCAGGCTTGCTTAGCGCCTCCTCACCAAGAGTAACGCGAGTAACGCAAGCCACGTGCACTGTGCTAGCAGCAGGAGCACGTGAGCTGTGTTTGAGGAAGGCCAGCAGGGGAGGGGAGGAAGGGCTGGAATGCGGGCTTCGTCCTGTCTTGCCGAGCACAGGGGCAGCTGGTCCCCGGGGCTCCAGATGCAAGAGGTGACTGCAGCCTGTGTGCTGTGCAGGAAAATGCCCTGGGAGGCCCCTCGCGCGGGCTTCTCTGTGCCTCTGCACTGCTGGCTGCCTTCTGTTTGGAGTGGAAGCTGACTTTCGCTCATAGTTCAGGACTTATTTATGGCACTAATGCTTCCAGATGTAAACAGCCGCAGTCCCCTTCTTCCGATGTGCTCAGCGTGCCTCACATCTGTGATTTTGTTTATTGTAACTTATCCTGTGAGGAACACAGCCAGATAGCTTAGAAGAATGGAGAGTTTTACAAACTGCAAGGTGGGACGTGGCTCCGTGAGGTGGCCTTCTCTCCTGTGGCAGAGGGTTTGCTCCCACTCCTCACATATTTGCATCCCACACACTCATATTTCAAGTGGAGGGGCACAGAGAATTCTCAGCAAAGGGAGTGTGGTGACCATGCTGGCCACCACTGGGAGTTTAAATTAGGTCTCTGCCTCTTCTCCACCAAGGAGCTCCCTCCCGGCTGTCTTCCCAAAGCTGACTGCCTCTCAGAGTTTCAGGTCATCTTGAAGGATTTGCCTCTGCTGTAACATGCGCATGTCCTTGGAGTCTCTTTCCGAGGTAGAGATGTGTGTATGTGGGTGGGAGTGCGCGTTCCTACCCTGGCTCTGTCAGTAATATACAGCATAGACAGCGTTGTGAGGAGCCGTCTTCCCTTACCTTGGAGGTGGACTTCCGGACTAGGGAGTCACTGTGGTCTCTTGTTTTTCACTCTTCTTGTTCTCTGTCCTCCATCTCCAGGAGAAGATGTTGGTTATGTGGCCAGTGAGATAACAATGAGTGACGAGGAGCGGATCCAGCTAATGATGATGGTCAAAGAGAAGATGATCACCATTGAAGAAGCACTTGCTAGGGTAAGAGAGCGGACGCCTGGTCTCCGTGCATGACTTTGGCCTCCTCACATTTAATCATGCTTGAGGGCATCCAAGGAGAGAGGTCCTGCTCACCCACCTCTCCCAGTGCTGGGAGTGAGACCCAGGGCCTTGCGTGCTAGGCAAGTACTCCACCACTCAGCCACATCTTCAGCCCCACAACAGTATTTCAGGGAGATCTTGATGGTCTTGAGGCACCCCACTTTTTCAGCTAACATGTTTATTCCTTTCTGTTTACTTGATACAAGCGTCCCATTTTGTGAGGTGAAATTTCTCCATTCAGTGAATGAATGAATGAATTTTTGATCTGTAGACTCCTTTAGTGAGGAAGATGACCTTCTTTAATATCATTAGAAAATTCACAAGCCATTTGAAAAGGGTTAAGAATATAATCAGTGGTTAAAAAGTCAGTGATTAAATATAAACATCAATTTTAAAATGTCAAGGTTAAGTAAGCTTCAAGTATATGTTAAGATTTTAGTTACTTTCATATCTAAGTAAATACTAAATTAGGCACTAGAAGATGCCTAATTAACCTTTAGGAAACTGGAGTACCGTAAATAGTAGCACCACTTAGGATAGTGAGGTGGTAATTTAAGGTAGTTTCTGCCTACGGATGACCAGTGAACTGACTGACTCTCGGTTTTCACTCTAAACACCGGGTTCTACAGCACAGACAAAAGTCATGAATAGCAGGGGCAGGAAACAAATGAAAACCTCCAAATCACTAAGGAGCCACCAAATGAATTCTGACTTTACCTGCGTCTGATTTTGTGCTGCTACAGTGGAGCGCCACAGACTGGGTAATTTGTAAAGATGAGCAAGGTAGTGGCTTACAGTTTTGGAGGCTGGGAAATCTGAAGTCAGAATGCTGGCCTTGGCCCTGGTGAGAAGGAGGCCGAACTCCTCACCCAGGATGTGCCTCGCACACCTCGTCTTCTAGAGGGAAGGGAGGTTAGACGCTCGCCTGGTGGAAGAGGAAAGGGCCAAGAGGGACAAGGAGGCTAGACTCACCCTCTTACGAATCCCACTCATGGGAGCAGAGCCTGTTCTCCCCCAAGTTCCACCTCCTGACACCACCCTCATGGCTGACTCACTTCCCCGTAACTAGGATGGAGGAAATACTCAGAGCCCAGCAGCCACTAGGTGGAGTCGTGAAGATCACATACCTTGAAACAGACAAGCGTATACCCTTTAGCTAGTGTCCCTAGCTCTAAGCTTCAGTACCTTCTTAAAATGTTTTAAACCTGTTGCTGTGACAATCTGTTCTTGTTGTACGAAGAAGCAGTATCATGTGAGTGGAGAACAGGCTGGGTTAGGAAAGCCAGGATGGGACCTATGTGGGACATGCACCTGTGGGCCCCTCTCCCTCTGTGGGCTCAGAGGAGACCCGTTGATGGACCCCGGCCCCAGAGCCTGTGAGCAGACAGAGTGGTGACAGAGGTGGGGTTGTTGTTGCTGGGCTTGCTACCATCATGTGGGTTAGCACTGAGGTGGTGGGGCAGCGGGTGACAGGTGACTACCTTAGGTCCATATGGCTCATCACCTGGACCTTTACCCGTGCCTTTGACCACCTGGCACAGCTGCTAGTCCCTCTTACATTTCTATTCCTTGGACATCACTTGGTCATGCGGTGGTATTTGGGAAATACTCCGCTCAATTCCTAGAGAATGCATGAGAAGAGTGGGCCAGTCCATAGTTTCTCTGTGGTAAATAAGAGGTTTATTTTCTTCCGGGGAGCAATGCTGCTGCACTGATTTTTTGTTGTTGTTATTGTTTTGCCAGCTCAGCCCACCCTGAGGGCGGGGCTGGCATGGCATGTGGTGCCGGGATTGAAATGTGGTGAACCCTGCACCTCCCTAAGCTTGCCTAAGCAGGCGCTTTAGACCATTGCCAGCACTCTGCACTGCTTTTTAATAGCAAAACTAAGGAACTGAATGAAGATGTCCACAGTCAGATTACAGCATCTGTGTCTGGGGGACAGGCAGTTTTCTTGAAGCAAGAGAAAGTGTTTAATTTCCTGGGCCTTCCTAAAGCCCAGTTTAGACAGTGTATTTTTTTCTTCTTTCCTTTTCAGTACTGGGGATTGAATTTAGGGCGGTGTACGTGCTAGCCAAGTGTTTTACCACTGAGTTAAGTCCTCAGCACTCACCCCCACCTACATACCCCTTTTAGAGGGAGTCTGCGGAGTGCCCATGCTGGCTTTGATCTAGGAGTCCTCCTGCTACAGCCTGTTGAGAATTTGAGATTACAAGTCTTCACTATAACCCCCAGCACTTGTTTCTTCCTTGAAACACAAACACAGGAATACTCAAACTTGGGGAAGAGGTGGAGAAAGCAATTTATGTGAATAGTTTTCACAGCCAGACATCGTTCTACAGAAAAGAGATTAGAAGTCCTACGACAGTGGTGCGGCTCGTGCAGGTTTGCATGGCGCCGTTCGTCCTGTACCTGGCAGCTGCTACGGGGCAGCCTGGGCCCAGTTTCAGCACATTCACAGAGCTCACAGAGACAGCAGGAGTACAGACGTCCCAGAGATGAAAAACAGTAGTGACAGTGTCCACCCTTTACTGAATTCTCCTGACAAGGCTGGGTGTCTGTGACAGGTGACAAAACATCAGAGACACTTATTTGATTGCTCTTCTTAGGCAACAGACCTCTATCACTAATGTCTAAATGGAACTCATTTAGCCAGAGACAGACCAGTTCAAGAAAGTGTGATCTGGAACAGGAAGCCGCATGCAGGTGGATCTGCTTCCTTTAACTTGTAACCAGTGTAGGGCTCTAAATTTACTTGATCTCTATAAGACAGTCCTCCAGAGCACGCTGTGACCCCTCAGGTTGAGATGGAGCACAGCATGCCTCCAGGACCGTGGCTGCGCCTGCCTTCCAGTATGCGGGGTCTGGGTCCTGATGGACGCGTACACCAAGATTGTGAGGAGAGGGGTTTGTCCACGCCCCGTCGGCTGTCCTTGTATTGGGGAATTTTGCCTGTGTCCGAACCAGGACAGGTTAGTCCTCTTCCCTTCATGGTGTGGATTTGATCTCATTAATAATACTTCCCCACTGTCGATTGTACAGCAGTGACTCACATATCTCAAAACCCAGTTCCCCAGATACAAGATCAAGGTGGAAGAGGCTGTAGGGAACTCGCATGTGAAGCAGCACTGCGCACTGCAGAAGCACTGGAAGAGAAAGGCTTTACAAAACTGCTCTCAGTCTACTGGCCTTGAATATGTGATTTATGAAGAGTCAATTTATAGTTTTTTGCATTTCATTGATGAAATAGTTCCATCCAATCTGAAGGCATTTCAAACGTTCTCTAATAGTTTTATGATGGCCACGGTATAGGTCTGCATTCCCGTTGGTGGGACAAGGCGCCTGATGTGGAGCTTAGAGGAGGAAGCTGTTTACTGGGCTCCTAGTTTCAGAGGCTTTAGTGGTCTGCTGGCTCCGTTGTGTGGGCCTGAGGTGAGCAGGAGAGCGACGTGCAGAGGTGCTCGCTGCATGGTGAGCCAGAAGCCCCCGCAGGGGAAGAGCCAGAGAGGAAGAGGTCAGGGACCAGTTAGTGTCCTGTGGTCACACACGTCGCCATGACCAGTTCTCCCCCAGGTCCTGCTTCCTCTTCGCCCACTCATCGATGAGTGTCCCCCAATCCAGTCAGCTCTCCTTGCCATGACAGATGCTGCCTGTGCTCAAGGGAAGGCAGGCATGCGAGCTGAAGAACAGGTAAGCAGAAGTCTGTTGAGGGAGGCCTAGGCAACCCGTGGGTTCTAAGCAGTAGCAGCCTCCAGGTGTGTTCTAATTCGAAGAGCATGCCTAGCTCTTTGGGGCATTCACATCTTGTACTACTCCTGCAGGGTATAGGAAGCCCAGTGAGGGGCTGGAATCTAGAAGTTAGCTGTTTACCTGGGTGATTTGTGTGAGATGTGAGGACAGGCGAGCAGGGAAGGAATGAAGGTTTGAAGCCTTGAAATGATGAAATTAATAATAATAATACTACTATTAAGCCAGGCCTGGCCTATAATCCTATTTGCCTAGGAAGGGAAGGCAAAAGGAATGCAAGTTTGAGAACAGCCTAGGCAACGCAGGGAGACCACATCTTAATATAAAACAAAACCAGGGGCCGGGGAGATGGCTCAGTAGGATAAGCGCTTGACTGGCAAATGCAAGGATCAGAGTTCAATCCCAGGTTCTGCCAAAAAAACAAAAAACAAAAAACCCCACAAAACCAAACCTGTCGTTCTGAATCGTAGTGCTTAGCGAAGATTAAGCTGTGTCCTTTGACATCAGTACTGGCAGTGACCTAATGAAAAGCGAGAGTGATCTGTGACCACGATATAATTTCATTTCTTTAAAAGTCTTACTACTGAAGACTGCTTGTATAACGTGTTCTAATTACTGAATACTATAAGTTTGTCTACTTGATCAGTATGTATGTGATTCTACAGGGCTGCATCTGTGTAAAAGTCAAAGTAAAATCCTTAGGAGATTAAAACATGAAGTCTCCTCATGGCTTCTTAGTTAGGGATTTGTACCTTGTTTTCATTAAACATGAAATTTAGCTGATGGCTCCAAGTAGTTGAGGCTGAGGTGGAGTATATAACTGGAGCAGAGGCCTAGAGAAGCCCTAATAATCCCATGCTAATCCCGTTTTCTGTCTGGCAGCTGTTCCCGATTGCACAGGGAGAGTGTAGCATTTCTGAAACCATATATCCAGATGGAAAGATCATTCTGGTATATAACATAAATGGACTGTAAAGATTAGGGCAATAAAATGTCCTAATGCATGAGGAAGATTGAAATGGTTACTGTCCCAAACAGAAAACACATGGAATTACTGGGAGAGCAGAACTGGCTTTTATCTGAAGCCACAAGGGTGGTAACGGTAGCGCTGTCCTGGTAACTGTTACATAGACACAGTGTGTTAAGAGCTTCGCTGCATTGTCGTGCTTAATTCTAGCCATGAGCCTGGGAGATAGATTTATTACCAACCCTCTTTCCTAGGTGGAAGGACTGAGACACAGAGGGGTTAAGTGATGGCCCCTGAGCTCCCAGCTCGTGTTTGCTGTCGTATCTAAGCCCTTATCCAGCCAGCACTGCTGCTCTGCTTTCCCACACAGATGTGCGGAAAGGACTTCCTAGGTAGAAGAGCACTTGGCAACGTTGCTTTCTTCTGCAGGGCTTGCGGTCAGCGCAGTGGCTTTGTGAAGACTGTCCTCACGCTCGCACACGGGTCGGGCCAGGCCGTTCTGTTTACCTTGTTGGACGCACAGACCATGATTAACTCGGTGTCTTAAAAATTCGTATCTGAAAACTGCTACCCAGTAGAATTTGAATGCAGTCACAGCTGTATTAAGCAGATTTCAGTTTCTCCATTTTTACAACTGGATACCTGGGCTTTTTCAAGGATACTATTTTGAAAGAGCCTTCATCTGATTTTGCTGAGTTAAATTTGCTCACTTCTCTGTATCATTTCACGTGCCTTTCTGTATTTTCAAAAATAGCAACTTAATTTCCGCACCCAAAATGTAGGTATCTCTGGTGACCTTCAGTCGTCTCCTTTCCTCCCTGTGCTTGAGGGTTCCCAGTACGACCTCTGACATTGGTTAGGTGGTGACATTGATCTTGCTGCTGGCCTGATTCAAAAGAGCAGGTGACTTCTTACGAGTCTTCCTGGGGTGTCTGCAGTCTCCATCTTTGTCTCCTCCTCAAAAGAGAGAGTATACTTTTGAGTTACAAAATAATGACTTAGAGGGCAAGCTACAGACAATTTCTATTTTGAAGTTTGTAATTGCACTGAAAAAGGGTGGGTTTTGATGATGGAGGATGTTGGAGGGAAAAAAAGATCAAGGTTCTTTGTGGAGTACAGGACAAAGAGTCCGCTGTGCGTGCCCCCTTGATGTAGCTAGAGCCCTGCAGGGCAGGGCATTGTCCCTCTGCCTCTGAAGGCTTGTCTTCAGCTGGCACTTCATCACCAGCACTGGCACCAAGGTGCCCACGGGGCTCTGCTGGCTGGAGACAGCGTATGGCCAGCTTTCATTCAAGTCTTCTGTTTCTTTTGCTGCAGCTCAAGGAGTACGAGGCCCAGCACCGGCAGTCAGCTGCCCTGGACCCCACCGACTGGCCAGATGGTTCCTATCCGACTTTTGACGGCTCCTCCACCTGCAACGTGAGTTTGCTGTCCCTGCGCAGCTAGAGCCCCTCCACTGACCAGGGACAGCCAGTATTCTTTCTGCAGCTTCTGGCTGTTCCTTGGGTTGGCAAAGTTTGTTAGAGGTATTTTTTTCCCCTTTTGTCTGATAGAGACTCCCGTATAGTCAAGAATTGTGCTTTCCATGCTAGAGTACTTTGGGTTTTTCGTTGTTCTTGTTTTTTCCTTGTGGTAAAGTATACATCATAGAAAGCTACCACATTAATGACCTCTCAACGTCCAGTTTCATCACGCGTGTTCCCACTGTGTGCAACCAACCCATAATCCACCACTGCTGGAAGCTTCTCATCATTCCAAACAGATTTTGCACCCATCCAATAGTGGCTTCTCCCTGTCTCAGGCCCCTGGTGCCGTTCCAGTCTGTGTCTAAGACTCTGACTCTTCTGGGTGGGTACCTGATAGGAGTGAATCATGCAACAGTTGTCCCTGTCTATGTCTGCTTTGTGTCAGCCAGAGTAATGTTTTCAAGGCCCATTCCTGCTGCAGCATGTGTGCTTTTCATGGGTGCATAATATTCCACGATACATCCTACATTTTGCTTATTCATCCATCTGTTGTGATGCTTCCACTCTTTACCTTTGTGAACAGTACTGCTGTGAGACATTAGTATACAGGCATCAAGTCCTTTCGTTGCTCTTGGGTTCTATCTAGGGCTAGACTTCTCGATCGCATGGTAATTCTGCTTCTAACTTTTTGTGGAACCGCTATTTTCTGTAGTTAGCTGTATCATTTTTTCCCCCAGCAGTCCATAAACATTAAAAACTCTTTGCTTGCTCACCCATAATTTTTATTTTTTCTTTTAAAAATAATAATCATCTTAATGGCTATCATAATTAAAGATATTAAGCATCTTTTCATGGGCGTGTTGGCAGTTCATAAGTCTTTGGTGAAATGTCAACTCAAAGCTTTTCCTTATTCTTGAGTTGTAATTTTTTTGTTTTGTTATTATTGTTGGATTAAAGGAGTTCCTTATATAGTGTAAATGTTACTTTTTAAATCATATGTGAATTATAAATATCCTCTTCCATTCTTGATACAGTGTCTTTGATGTGCAAAACTTTCAAATGTTGAAATCCATTTTATTTTGTTATTGTCCTGTTGATTTCTGGTGTCCTATCTAAGAAGTCATTGCAAAATCAGTATGAAGAAAATGTCACTTTAGGTTTTCTCCTAATTGTTTTGTGGTTTAGGTCTTTGACTCAAATTTGAGTTAAGTTTTATGTTTGATGTTAGGTGTGGCTCCAACTTCATTTTTCTGTTTTCCTCAAACCATTTGTTAAAAAGGCTGTCCTTTATCCCACTGAGTGATCTTGGCATTTGTTGTTTGTCTGTGTGATTTGTTTCCTAGTGCTATCTGGGCTTGAACCCAGGGACATTCTACCATGAGCTGCACCAAGATCCATGCCCCGCCCCACAGGCTATTACCATGTTGCCCGGGCTGGCCTTGAACTTGTGATCCTGCTGCCTCATTGTCTTGAATAGTTGAGATTATAGATGTGTGTCATGACCTTTGGAGTATGAGCCACTTTTGAAAAATTAGTTGACTATATTTATAAGAATTTATTCCTGAGCTGTTTTATTACATCGACCTGTATTGACCTATTTGCGTGTCCTTTTCCTGTTATCATACTCTCTTGATTACTGTAGCTTTGTAGTTAGTTTTGAAACCTTGAAGTATGAGACACACACACACACACACACACACACACACACACACACACACGCAGATTGCTTTAGCTGTTTGGTAACCCTTGAGATTTCATGCATGTCAGGATGGGTTATACTAGTTCCTCAAAAAGTGCCCTGGAGAGTTTGATAGAAATTGCATTGAGTCTGTGGAAAGATTTGGGTATTTTTTTTTTTTTTTTCCAGAGCTGGGGATTGAACTCAGATCCTTGTGCTTGTCAGGGAAGCACTTATTCTATGGAGCCATCTCCCTGGCCCCTAGATTTGGGTATTGTTGTCATGTGAGGAGTATAGTTTTATCTGTGAACCTGGGATATCTTTCTATTTATTTATGCATCTGTAAATCTTTTTCTGTAGTGTTTGTAGTGTGCAAGTGGTAAGTCTTGCCTTGATAGTTACATTTATTCCTGAGTTTTACAAATTTCTTTTGCTGCTTTAGTGGAAATATTTTGTATTTCCTTTTTAGATTGTTTATTGCTAGTGTATAGAGATGCAGCTGATTGTCGCTGTGCTGGTTTGCATCCTGTAACCTTGCTGAATTTATTGGCTCTAATGATGTGCGCGCGCATGTGTGTGTGATCTTGGGATGCTTTCCACATAACATCATATCATCTGCAAAAAAGATAATTAGACATCTTCCGTTTCAATTTGGGTGACTTATTATTCATGCTGTTTTAATGTGTTCAAAACAGTGCTTTTTAAACTAGGAGTTTGCTAGGGATTATAGGAATTAAAACTGAATATTTTCAGATACACGTTACATGGTGCCATCATTAAACTATTCAGAGAAGGAATGGAAATGATTATCTTTTTCTTTTCTTAAGTGTAGAACATAGTATGTACTTGTTTTGTTCTGTTTGTTAGGTTATCTCTTCCTTAAAATTTGGAGTCCCCTTTATCTCTGTGTCTTCAGCCTCTTGCTCCTACCCTACATCGCCAGGCAGCTTTCTAAAAGCACATCTTTCTTTCTTGCAATGTTGTGTTTTTTAAAAACCTCCTGGCTTCCCATTTCTATAAGATAAATTCCAAGCATCTCGGTGCACTTGGGGCCTTCTGTGCTCTGGCCTTCTTCGCGTTCTCTGACCTCATCCTTCCTTCCCACACCCAGCACCCTCTATTCCAGCCTCACTGGACCTCGCCTGTATCACTGCACAAACCTTGCCTGCTTCACTTGTGTGCTTTAACTTCAAGCAGTCTCCTCTCCACACGATGTGCCTTTCGCATTTTTCTTAGTGAGAAATCTATGCATTCCTCAACTTGAGAGCTTAATTTTTAACTTCCTCGATCAAACTTTTTCTTAGTCTCTGTGAGCATCTTTGCAGTTTCCTACTCAATATGTTTGTTGATCTGAATTGATACTCGTAACCGCTCCCCCAGAGTCATTCAAGGAATGGCACCTACTTCAGCCCCGTGGATGTGCTCTTTGTCTCTTGGGTGATCACCTGGCCTGGGGTCCAGCTCCTACCGAAATGTTTAATCAAGAGATGGTGGTTGAATGTTCATCCTTTCTGACTGCTTTGAAGGCAGATTTCGTGCCTTGCAGCTACACATTAGGTCTTTTCTTTGCCTCTAAGCACCAAATGGCAGCTTATCAGAAGTAAATAAAACCTCTTTCTTTTCCTTGATTTCCTGAAACAAACACCAGCTTTCCGTTGCAGTGCAAGGATTATGAATCTTGAGAGTGCTGCTTGATTTGCTTTTGTGCGAAAGAGACTGAGACATGAACATTTATAATAATAAATGTGTCATAGGCTAGCCACCCTGCACCCTGGGACGATGAGGTAATCAAAAGAGCCATGGCTGTGGCTTTCAGTGTGCCTTTTTGGGTCTCTTATGCTAAGCCCTAAAAGTAACATAATAAAAATGTAAATCATAAACTTAAAGAATCCTGAGGAATATAGTAACGCGGGACTGCTGTGATTCAAACCCAACTTGGATGAGAGAACAAAGCCGCAGTTGTCCATAGCAGGCCTTTTGATAGCAGGCGCGCCGTGTACTGTCCTGATTAATAGCAAATGATTCAAGAGACGGGTTCGAAGACTTTGTCCTCACAGAGAAACAGGAGTGTAGTTAAACCTCACAGCGCTCACTGCCGGGAGAAGCGCTCGTCTCGCCTGGGACAGTTCATGTGTGTCGGGTACGACTGGCCTTTTGTACGAGCTGCTAAGAAAGCGTTACCCATCGTTCATTCTTGTTCAGAGGCTCCATCACAGCCGTCACCGAGCTGTGAATGGTCGGAATGAAACGGGCTCTTCTCAAGGGCTGGCATTTTATCCTCTCAACCATTTCTGTATCCATGTACTTGGGAGACATTCATGGGGCCCTTGCTGTCCCTGGAGCGGGCGTCATGCTGGATGTTGAGGTGACAGAGTGACAGAGAGGAAGGCCCTTCGGCCCGCACCTTAGTGCAGAGGTGATCATGACACCACCGGGGCGGACACCACTCAGGGTGTCGTGGGTGCCTTGCCTGTGCTAACATCATGCCACAGCATGTCTTTATAGATGGCTGGAAAATGAATTCAGGCTGCCTAGCTGGACAAAGGGCCAGAAGTGGTGCATGCTCTTTCCGCTCTTTTGTAGTCTGCAGAGCGACCTCTCTTGGCACTGAGAAGCACGGGCGACGGCTGCCCGGAGACAGAGAGGCTGCCAGAACCTTGGTAGTCCGCACACATCTCTCATATGCTGACCTTCGCCGACACCCTGCCCACAGCGAGCACCCTTGTTCCTGATGTTGCCTTGAATTTGGTTGTAATCCTGAGGTGTCGGCCTCTTGCTGCTCCTCCCTGACTTTAGAGATTTAGCCTTCTTGTGCACAGTCCCAGCGACACCCCAGCCGAAGTACTCTCTTGCATTATTCTGGATCTGGTGCCTTCGCACAGCCGGTAATTTCAGGTCAGCCCTACTGTGTGTTGCTTCAGCCATCAAGAGTTAGGTAATTTTCGGCTTTCTGATGATTACTTTCTATACTGAGATGTAAGTAGCCCCCTGGCTGCAGTCAAAAATGTCCAGGCCATGGAAGTTTCGGGGACCATAAAGCCTTTGTCACCAGACCTCAATGCCTATATTGATGCTTACATGCCTTAGGATTTCATTTGCATGGATTTCACAGTGTGCCCAACCCCCACGCCTGACATTAGATAATTGCGTGTTGCCTCACAATAAATCCATATGCACATTCCACATCTCCGAGAGTGTAAAGTGCTAAAGATAGATACCAGGGGAAGTGAAAAATAGCCCTCTCCTTGCCAAAGAAGACTCTGTTCTGTGCTAGT